ATAAAGCAGAAAAAAATTCTCAGGGCCCCAGCAGTCTGTACCTTCTTAAATCCCTCATGCATGTTTGTGGCTCCTGTAGGCACTACATTCTGAAGTCTGCTAAGACCATCACGTATCTCATTTCTGAAGAGAATCAGAAAAGGGAGTTGAGGTGGAGTGAGGGGCTGACTATGGAAAAGCAGCCCCACGCTGTCCTGTCACAATTCTGCACCATGCAGACCTGCCTGGACTGGAGCGGACACAGTCAAGTGGCCCTGTCATGGTCTTTCTGCTTTGTGTCCTTGAAATTGACAGGCGTTCCATGTCCCCCATCTGGTGAGCATGAGGGGGGATGCTGGTTTGCTGGTCCCAAGGGTATGGCCTGGCTTTCAATGGGCTCACGCCTGTCTCAGGCACGCAGACCTCAGGGGACCTCACCAAGGCCCCTGCCTTGACCGTCCATGGTGGGAGTGGGGAGCATCCAGGGAAGTGTACCTGTGATTCCAGCACACACAACGTGCCTGGCACGACTGCAAAGCACCCGAGGGGTCCCTCAGGAGGGCACACTGTCCTCCAACAGGTAAGGCTAGTTTGGAAAAGGTCATCCAGCTGATGCCTCCCCCTCGCTCCCATCCTCCATGCCAGGGACCCCTGAGTTCGACTCGGTGCCCCCAAGCCTCTCCCCCTTCTGTAGTTGGCGCTAAGGGAAGTAGCAAAGCTACTTAATTAGAGTGCTAGGCTCCTGGACTTCACGTGTCCGAAAGGAAAAGACCAAAGCTGGGGCAGTGGCCCTGAGGGCTGTCCAAGCAGGCAGAAGACCAATGGTCCCCAGCCTGCCACGGGGATGTAGCCTGTCAGCCACTGTTAACCCTGAAGCACAGGCTGGGACTGGGACACAGGACGGGGTGGGGCTTAGGTCCAGGCTAATCTGATGTGACGGAGCTGAGCTGGCACACCAAGGCTCAGGAGAGCACGGCCCCTGAAGGCTGGCTTCTCTCTGCAGGCAGAGATGCTACCATGGGGTGAGAGCTGAGAGCCAGGGTGCAGTCCTGCCCAGTCCAGCCCAGGAGGTGAGGAAGCCTGACTCCCAGGGCCAGTGGAGGCCAAACCTGGCCCTGCCCAGCCCAGCACAAACACCCTCCCCTCCTCTCTGAACATTCTGGAAGATTTCCAGTTTGTCAACAGCCCCTCCAAATATGCTGGAACTCTCAGCCCTCCCATTCTCTGGCCCAGGACCCAGCTCAGCCAGGCTGTGCTCTTGCCGCAGCGAGCTCTCCCTGATGTGGCCCCTCTAGCCCAAGTCACCCCCTACTCCCAGCTCTGCTCACAGAGGGACGACAGGCTCCTAGCACCCTCAGCAATTCCTCCTCCTCTTAAAATACCCCTCTCAACCCCTAAGAGCTCCCTCCACCTCTTGCCGGTTCTTACTTCCGCTGCCATCACCCCTGGGGGCTTTCTAGCCCCTGTGCTGTCTGGCTCCTCTAGCGCCCAGAGCAAGCTCCTCTGTGGACTGTGTCATCCTCTGCCTGCACCCCTAGCCGAAAGGGCTCAGAAAGCCCAGGCCCCATGTTCTGGGCAGACCCTCCAGAATCAACCCTCTCCTCAGGCTCCACTGGCCCTTTCTGGACTCACCCTACATGCCAGGGCCCACCACGGCCCTCTGCCATACCCCTCCTCAACTCATAGGCAGTGGCGCACTTTGGGGAATGGCCAATCTCAGGCTGGGCCCAGCTCCAATCAAGATGTTGTGGGCTCCTCGGGAGCAGGCAGATCTAGGGCCCTCAGCTGACTCTGAGCTGTCTTCCCAGGTGCACATCAACCCCGCCCCCAGTGTTTCATATCTTTTCCACTCCCCCAAGTCCCACTCCCACTCCTGACACCCTCCCTCAGGGAAGACGGCCCCATCTTCACTTTCCAGAGAGGACCCCGGAGGCCCTCCATGAGCTTCCCCACAGCTTCTCGTGGTTTGGGCCCTGAGCCCTTGCTTTGGGGGAGGCGGTGGGCTTCCTCTCCCCCAGGGCTGCTCCTCTACCTGAGGCCCATGCCCAGCCCCTGCCGCCTCTCTCTCTGCTACCTGCCAGAGTCCTTACCTACAGACTTGCTTTCTTCCACCTCAAACCCACTCAGGTCTCTCTCTCCCTAACGTGATCCACATGCACCCACAAAACCACTCCTTCCCGTAGCCCATGGAGCAGCCAGCCCACTCCCTGCCTCCCCTGGGAGTCAGATATGGGCGAGCACTCTCCGTGCACTGGCACCACCACACCCCTCCCCTGCAGCCTGGCTGTTCATGCTTACTCTGCTGTACTTGGCTTCTCTCCCAGGGGTCCCGAACAGTGGCTCTGTCTCTCAAATCCTGGGACCCATCAGTCCTAAATGGCCTCACCTCTCTTTGGTGCTTCACCCACTCTGAGTTGGGTTCCAGGCATTTGCATCCACGAGAATCTGAACCTCCCAGCTACTCAGAAGCCCCATAACTTCCCACCTCCAGGCCTTTGGGCACACCGCTGGGCCCACCTAGGATACGGCTGCACATGCCTCCCTCCAGCACCCCAGCCCACTCTCATGTTCAGGACCCCACTCATGGGTTCCCCTGCCTCAGACCCACCAAGGGACCAGGCTTCCCTCCACTGAAGCCCCCAGCACTTTGACGCTGCCCATGCCTTCCTCCCTGGTTCTGATTCTGTCTCCCCCCTCCCCCCACTGGCCCAGGGCCGAGAGTGACACCCACAGCAGGTGCCCAACACAGGCCAGTGTTCACAAAGGACCCGAACATCTGCTCCACCAGATCCCAGGAGTCCTCACAGGCAGCCCGCTCTATGAAAACGGTAGAGTGCCCAGGGAAGGACTCAGGATAGGTGGAGGGCGGGACTTAGAGGGGTGGAGATGGTCTAGAAGCACACGGGTCTGCCAGTCCAGCGCAGCCGGGGATCAGAGGCGGCTGGGGGCTGGGGGTCAGGTGGGCACTGAGGGGAGTCCAGGCCAGCCCAGCCTGCACACCAGTGGGCTCCCCACTGAGGTCTCAGGGAACCCCTCAGCTCCTTGGCTCTCCCTGCAGCCCCAGCCACCAGGTCTGCCTTGGGGATCAGAGTAGCCCTTACCTGTCTGAGGTGAGCTTCATGAGGGTGTGGCCCTGTGTGGAGTACGTGATGAAGGACATCCGCAGTTTCGGGCTGGGGAGGAAGCAGGCATTCGGGAGAAGCCATAAACACAGGCTCAAATGACGCCAATGTGCAGCCAGGGACAGGGTGCATGCCAACCTCCCTGCTCCCCACCCCAACTCTGCTGCTTTGGGGCCCGTTTTCCAAACCGCAGAAATTCCCGTAACTTCAGTGAAGGATTCTGAGGCTTGTGGAGATGTGGGGCCTTCTGGGCAGAGAGTGCCAGCACGGCACCCTGCTCCACCCCTATACCCCAACATCCCACAAGTCTCTCTCTCTCGAACACACACACACAGGTGCACACACACAGGCATATGCACAGTGCACATAAAGGAGACACACACCTATACACTCCTGCATGAGGGTCTCTCAGCTGGCCTCACTTCTACTGTAAAATTCTCTGGACCTTCACCACCCTTCCTTTCTTGCCTGTCTTTCCTGCCTCTCTCTAATCTCAAAGAAATTATTCTCCCTCATGGCAGCCATTCATAAACATCCCTCCCTTTCCTCTCCTTGGCCACTGTCTTCTTGTCCGCTGACTCTCATTACCTTTTTTTTTTTTTAAAAGATTTAGATTTTATTTATTTTTTCCCCCCAAAGCCCCAGTAGATAGTTGTGTGTCATAGCTGCACATCCTTCTAGTTGCTGTATGTGGGACGTTGCCTCAGCATGGCCGGAGAAGCAGCGCGTCGGTGCGAGCCCGGGATCCGAACCCGGGTCGCCAGCAGTGGAGCACGCTCACTTAACCACCAAGCCACGGGGCCGGCCCAATCATTTCCTTTTAGCTAAATTGCTACCACAGTTCCCTAGTTGAGCTTCCTACTGCTCCTGCTATTGTTCAAACTCATTCTACCCACAGTTATCAGACTTTTATTCCTGGAGTACAACATGATCATGTCAGACCCCTGCTCAAGAGTCATCTATAGCTCCCTATTGCTCACAGAAGGGAATTCAAGCCCCTTGGCCTGGCAGTTTGAGTCCTGATGGCCTTGGCCCCAAGCTGTCCTGTCTAGCCTCATCTCCCAGCCCTCCCCTGAGTTAACTCTACCCTCCAGTCAAACAGACCACTCTCTCCACAAGAAGTCTCCTCGATGGCTCCTGTTAACCCGTCTTTGCCCATCCTTCAAGACCCAGCTCAATTCCCACATCCTCTGAGAAGCCATGATTGACTTTTTCTCTAGGAATTCTTGCTTTTTCCTTTAAGCTGCCTTCTAAGTCCTTTGCCCTTTTCTTTTGGCCCGCAGCACTGTTTAACCAGGTGGTTCATTACTGTGTTACTAGTTTATCTATTTCCTAATCTGTGAGGTCCTCAGAGACAGACTGTGTCCCCTGTCACATGGCCTGACTCCCAAGGAAGAAGTCAACCAAATCTGCCAAGACCCAACAGAACCAGTGTGATCTGTTCTTTCCTGTGCCTGAATACTGCCCTGAGTTCTGTGCTCCTGACCCGAGGGACTCCCATGCCCACTGAGTCTAAACAGCTGTGAACTCCGCCTAGCAGAGGAAAACACCATCCGTACTTTGGGTACTTCTTCACCACTTCATTCACAAATCTGTAAACATCCTTCCAGCTGCTCTTCACACTGTCTGATCTGAAAACAAAGGAGACCTGAGTCAGAGGGATGAAGCGTGTTCACCGAGTGGGCAGAGTTTCTGCCTCCCTATCTACCAGCAGGTCATTTAGCAAGCTCCTCTCCCACTCCCCACATAGCTGAAGGCTGCCACATACCCTCAGTGACTCAGCAGGTCACTCTAGTGGTGACTTTCATCACTGTGAGTGGTGGGGAGGGTGACCAACCAGACCCCTGTGCTTGGGGATGAGAAACTGTTTGTGGCAAATGAACACGGTTGGTCATGTCAGGTGGGGCTGTTAGACAAGGAATGAGGGAGGATGTGTTGGCTGTTAAAGCCTCCAGTGATTCTGATATGTTGGCTCTCCTGGTCCCCCTCTTACCAACACTCCGACAGGAGCCCTGGCCTCAGAACTGGGAGGATGTGCTACTCAGACTATTTTATTTCCCTTCTTTCTTATCAGCCTGCAAATCTGAGCTACTCTGCACACAGAAGGCCTTTTCCAGCAGTACTGCCAGGGGAGGGGCAGGAACAGGCCTGGGCCACTGTTGTCCTGTGTCATCATGCCCCAACCAGCAGGGAAAGCCACAGGTACTTCCGGTTCCTACTTTCAGTTTCTCGCTCCCATCAGCTCCCACTTTAGTCCCTGGATGGAGGAGGCTGAAGGAGGTTGGGGCCTCATGACCCCTTCTGTCTAGGTGGTAAGCACTTATGTGTACTCTACCTGTCCAGGGTTCAAAGGTCTTTGCAATCTCAAATCTCTGTAGCTCTGCACTATTCAAGGTTATGGAGGGCAAATGTGAGGCTCACTGACTGTTTTGCTCAAGGTTCTGCAGATAGTAAGGGGTGAAACTGAGGCTGGTGACTTGGCGTGGGCTCATTCCCTGGAAATGTTGGCTCATATCTTTAATACGGCAATTGAGTCAGAGGAGCCCTTCCTCTCACCTTCAGTGATCACCATGCCCATAAATATCCTGAGTGCCATTTTATATGTGTGATCCCCACATACCCACAAGCATCCTTCTCCTCTCTACTATTCCGTCTGCCTCCTCTAGGCTGCATCTAAAACTGTCAACAGATGGTGATGACACTAGGATAGATGACAATGATATCAAGATTATAATTCACGGAGCACATATATACCAGAAACTTTACATACATGGTTTCCAATTCTAAAACAACCCTATATCAGCATTATTCCCATTTTATGAGGAAAAAACTGAGGCTCTCACAGGTCAAGGAATTTGCCAAAATTTCCATGGCTAGCATGGATCTGAACCCAGATCTAGCTGCAAAACCCATGCTCTATCCATTGCACTTGGCAGATCAGGGTGACACTGCTGTGTCTGACAATTGCTGGGTAGCAAAGCACTAGACTCGGACAATCTCCACAATACTGACTTTCTCTCGGAAGATCCCATGCTAAAGTGCAAGATGACTCCTTTCCTAACTAATGGTAACACTTTCCACTTTCATTCTCATTACTCATTACTCCTCTCCTCTGTTTCCCCCCTGAGTGAAGAGGAGATTCCAGAAAAGATTTATGGGAAGCAAGAGTCTTCAACCCACCAGCCTACTCTGGGAAAGTTTCCAGTTTATGATTATTTTGAAGCAAGGAATTACTCTAGATTATTCTAGAATCTAGAATACAGAATAATGCAAGTGCTCATGGGCAGTGGAAAATGCCACAGGGACCTACAGGTCCCTAGGAAGGAGGCAGTTTGGAAAAGAGCAACCTTGTGGGCTTCTGGCACACAGAGCTCCAATCATGTTTTAGTGCCCCACTCTTAAACAAGATGGGGGAGGGGGGTATCACCAGACATTTCAGGACATCCCTACTATTAACACTTCAGACCAAAACATCCTGGTGATATAACTATCCTCAGAGAATAGAAGTGGGTGGGGCAGAATTGTGTAGGGGAGCTGAGCTATAAGAAAGCTCAATTTCCTTTCCCATAGTAAGAAGTCAACAGAGAATGGGCACCCTCAAACAGTAAGAAACAGCAGTCAGTACAAGAATGTTATTGGAAACATGGTCATAATACCAGAAGAAAAATCTGGAAGATTTGTAAGTGGCTGTCTCTGGGGAGTGGGATCAGAAGTGGTCAAGAGTGGGGCAGGAGCCTCAAGTTTTTTGTCGTGAAGTTTGTAACACTGTTTGATTTTAAATTTACCTTCAATATTTCCTCCTAAATGTAAAAATGAAATTACAAACAAAAACTAGTAGTATGGAGGATGTCAGCAAAATGGCAGAGTCTGAAACTCTCAGCCCTCGTTCCCCCATAGAAACATTGAACAAACAGCCATAAGCTGTCTGCACCAAATTTGTAGGAGCTCTGGAAAACAATAAAAGGTTTACAACAATAAAGCAAATGTGCAATCAAGAAATAGCTATCTTCAAAATGGTAGGAAAGTTTTATGGCATTTTCAATCACCCTTCTCCCACTCATTCCTGGAATGGTGGCAATTTTCTTCTTGATCAGTGGCCCCGTTCCAAGTTCTCCTTGAACCAAAGGGAGTAATGTAGATCCTACTTACAAATTATTGTATACATCTGTTCTAACCTGGTTGAGGTCAATTAGGATGTTCAAAAGCAGCTGTGAGCACAGACAAATTTAGAAAGCCACATATATGCCCCAGCCAGAAGCATGTTCAGAAAAGTCCTAAGAAGACCTTAAGCTTTCACCTTGGGGTGATCCTTAGGTTCAGAGCAAGCTAGCTAAGTGGTAAAGGAATAGCCCAGCAAATAACCATTCTTCAAAGATTGAGAGAGGTGGCTGTTCTCTCTGTATGCAAGTTTTTTAAATTTCTGTGGTGGTTTTATATTTGTTTGGCATTCAAGGAAATCTCTGTCAAAACATTAGCTGAATATCAGCTAAAGCAATAGAAACTCCACAGATCACACACAAAAAGGTATATTCTTTACAAAAGAAGTTAGAAAACTTTCAAAATAAACGGACTACTACACACTTCTACAATAACAAAGAAAAGCAAAAACACCCCAGTAACCCATGGGGAATTCTGATTTCTAATGTTACCACAGTATAATAATAAAAACCCAATTTTCAACAAAAAAATCACTAAACATACAAAGAAATAGGATGCCATGGCTCATACGAAGGAGCTAAATAAATTTACAGAAGCCATCCCCGAGGAAGCCAAGGCATCAGATGTAGTAGACAAAGACTTAAAGAAACTATCTTAAATATGCTCAGAGATAAGGGAAAATAAGGACAAAGAAATAAAGGAAATCATGAAAATATTATATGAACAAAATGAGAATATCAACAAAGAGACATAAATTATCAAAAAACCAAACAAATTCTGGAAGTGAAAAGTTCAATAACTGAATTGAAAAATTCATTAGAGAAGTTCAATAGCAGATTTGTGCAGGCAGAACAAAGAATTAGCAAAGTTGAGTTTAGAACAATTAAAATTATTGAGTGTCAGGAGCAGAAAGAAAAAAGAATGAAGAAAAGTAACCAGAATCTAAGGGACTTTGGTACACTGTTAAGCAGACCAACATACACATTGTGGGAATCCTAGGAGATGAGAAAGGAGCAGAAACATTATTTGAAGAAATAATAGCCAAAAATTCCCCCATTTTGATGAAATACATCACTCTACAAATGCAAGAATCTCAACTTATTCCAAGTGCAATAAACTAAAGAGACCCACATCAAGACACATTATTATCAAACTACTGAAAGACAATAACAAAGGAAGAATCTTGAACAGGCAAGAGAGAAGAGACTTGTTATATACAAGCAGTCCTCAACAAGATCACTTCTCATCAGAAACCTCGGAGGCCAGAAGCTGGTAGCGGATATATTTAAAGTACTTAAAGAAAAAAAAACAGTCAAGTGAGAATGCAATACTCTGCAAAATTGTCCTTCATAAGTGAAGGAGAAATTAAGATATTCACAGATAAATAAAAGCAGAGGGAGTTCATTTCCACTGGACTTGTCCTACAAGAAATGATAAAGGGAGTCCTTCCAGTTAAAATAGGACACAAGACAATAACTTGAAGCCATATGAACATAACAAGATTTCTGATAAAGATAAACATAAGAGCAACTAGAAAGGCTAGCATTATTAAAATCTTCATTCTTAATTGAATATTTTCTACAGAATGTAATAGATATGTATTAAAGTAATTATAAATCTATGTTCTTGGGCACACTATTTGTAAAGATGTAATTTGTGACACTGATAACACAAAAAGGGGGTTGCAGCAGTTTAGGAGTAGAGGTTTTTTTTTTTTTTTTTTTTTGGTGAGGAAGATTAGCCCTGAGCTGACATCTGCTGCCAATCTTCCTCTTTTTGCTGAGGAAGACTGGCCCTGGGCTAACATCTGTGCCCATCTTCCTCTACTTTATATGTTGTTCACCTGCCATAGCATGGCTTGATAAGCAGTGCATAGGTCTGCGTCCAGGATCTAAACCTGCAAACCCTAGGCCGCCAAAGCAGAGTGCGTAAACTTAACCATTACATCACTGGGCCAGCCCCCTAGGAGTAGAGTTTATGTATGTGACTGTTAAGATGGTATCAATTCTAGTTAGACTGTTATAACTTTAGCATGTTAGAGTTAATGCTCACGTAATCTTAATGAAAATATCTACAATAGCATATATACAAAAGAAATAAGGGAATCAAAGCCTGTCATTACCAAAAAATCAGGTAAACACATAAGTAGGCAGAAATGGAGAAAATAAAAAACACAAAAGTTAGAAGACACACAGAAAAGAAACAGTAAAATGGCAGAAGTAAGTCTTTCCATATAGTATTTATTTACGTATACGCGTGTATGTATTTAATTGAGGTCACATTGGTTTATAACATTATATAAATTTCAGGTGTACATCATTATATTTTGACTTCTGTATGTTCTGCATCATGTTCACCACCGAAAGTATAGTTTCTATCTATCATCATACACATATACCCTTTTACCCCTTTCGCCCTCCCTCCACCCCTTTCCTATCTGGTAACCACCAATCTGTTCTCCATATCTATGTGT